GCGGAATTTAATTTTGTGCTTGCGGAATAATGTCGGGTCTTGGGAGGGTGGTTTCTGTATTTTAATAGTCTGCGCGGTGTTGGGGGAGTAGGTTGCGTTTTCGTTGCGGAATTCATTAAAGTTGCGTGAGTTACAACTTCCCGGTGACGGCGTGTGCACTTCCCAATTGGCAACTGAATCTTCGTACCGGGAGAGTTGGCTCGGGGTATCAGTTGACGTCTCAGTTGAGGTCATAGATTCGAGTCCCAATGGTCCCAATGTTTGACACTAGCTAGGTAGCCTGGACGAATTTAGCTGCTATATGAAAGAATTATTGCGGGCGGCTGCTCTGATCGGTAGTTTTTCGTGGTTTCTTCCATCAACACTAGGCGAATGCCGGAGCAGAACCCTAACAAACGGGACACGGACCGCACGCGAGGAAGGAACCTCTTCCTTGCTCTTGTCCTATCCTTCCTTGCCCCCTTACACACGCACACACGCACGCACACACGCACACACACACGCACGCACACACACACACACACACACACACACACACACTAACATGCACCACACTACCAGACATGCCGGGAGTCCAGTCGACCGCGGTCGGGAGCTTACAGCTTGTCCCGACTGGGGCTGTGCCCCGGTGGCGGGAGATACCTGGTTGGGGAAACCCGGTAACCGTCGGGAAGATCGGCACCAGATCTCACCATCGAGTGGAGAAGATCACCGCCATCTTCAGAGGAAAGAAAATGCACTACACTTATGGGACTAATAACATTAGCAGTTGACGCGTCCGGAATCGCCAATCAAACAAAAAAAATCTGAATGTTCGTTGATCCAGAGGCCCTGCGTTCGAATCTCATCGGTGGCGGTCTTTCGACATCTACTAAGTGCGAATAGCTAGGTCGGATACAACCACTTCCTGGATGAAAATTCTAGCGGGTGGCTGCTTTGATCTGCGATTTTCGCGACTTTCTCCGATCAATTTCAGGCGTACAAGTATGTCGGATCGGTATCTTAAACAATGGGCAACGAACCGTACACGATTCTTCCTTCCCCATTCTGGCCCTAATCTCCCATTATCAGCGCTGAGCGATGGCGGTGATGGCTCTGTGACATTTGATATCTCTGCAGCGTTACTGACCAGGAAATGCCAAGGTTCGAGTTTGGAAGTGGCAGATTTACATTAGTTTTCAACCACTGTTTAATTTGGAAGAAAATTTCTAGCCGCTGGCTTCTCTGATAGACATCAGTGGTTTCTCCGATTAATTCCAGACTAATACTGAAGCAGTATTCTAACGAACGGACCACGGACCGCACGCTATCTTCCCTTCCTCATACATGACCCTTCATCTCCCCCAATACACATGAACTACATTACACATGCACTACACTGCCACATATGTCGAGAGACCAGTAGATGAGCTTAGAGATTATTTCGGCTGGGGAAGTGTCCTGGGGATAGGGGATATACCCGGATGGCGACATTGTCGGTTGCCGTCGTTTAGGGCGGCGCCGGATCTCACATCAAGCGGAGGAGAAACAGCGTCGCCTCCAGGGATTTAACATGCACTGCGCTTGGCAGACTAATGATCTAAGTGGTTGAGCTCGAGAATACTAAGAGGGATACAGTGACGGGTTGAGAGGCTCCGAATCACGGTTTTTTGGGTCGAGGTGAGTTAGCCGAAATAAAGGTACATGTTTTTACAGATATTGATAATTTACGAGTGAATGCTAAGGTCTTCACAATCTAATAAATTACGCATTACATACCCATTTAGAGGTATACGTACTTGTGTGCATCCGTGCCTTGTTATTGATATACTGCGCCTTTGATACGATGGCGAGCCATTTTGGGGTGAATTCGAACTGTTAGAACACGGCAGGATGTAGGTATTGTCATGGCTTAAAGGCCTTCGGCCTAGCCACATCGTATCATGTTATTTAATTTAGAAGTGTAATAATTACCTATTAAATAAATAAACTATATTGACTGTAAAGTCTTAACGCAAGAGACTTGAGAGATGGACGATATATGAAGACATGAATTGTAACCTGTTTACTTTGTACAACTCCTTGAACATAATTTGAAGTTAGTCGTGAAATCATGTCAAATCTGGACATCAACAGTCCCGGATACATACTCGTAATTATGAATTTTCTACAAGTGTGAAAACTTTAAGATAACATCTTTAAACCTTAAAGGATATTTGAGCTTATTTTACGATAAAAATACTCCATTAACATAATTATTTCATTATGCTATACGTTAGGTAAGAAACACTTTAGACGATTTCTTTTTTGAAAATTGTATGTTTTCTAAAAATACCATTTTTTTAAAATCTCGAGTTTCAGTTAATTCTTCACTTAGTATCCTTTTTCATCGAAGAAGCAATTAACATGCTGTATAACAGACATTCTTACTTTCTATTCAGTATTATTTCTGCTTTGGCAATTTTTCTATTTGCAAGAGCTCATAGATCGTTTAGCTTTAATGAAAGAGTATTAGTGGCAACTATATTTTTCTGTTTCGAGACTATTTTAAGTGAATTATAAAACTTTCAATGCCCTTATTTAATTGTTTCTTCAATGCATGAAAAAGTCGTTTAATATTCCCAATTTTAAATTATGATGTCTATTTGCTCTCAACTTCACAGTGCGATGACTACAGCACATTTTTTTCTAGCAAAGAAGCAAAAATTGTCGTGTCTTTGTATTTCATGAACTGATAATAAATATAAGCTGACCCATTTTAATCTCCAGTCCAGAAAACTTTATCTAGCATTAGAGGTATATAAAACTATTCTCAGAGTGCAAAAAAGCTGCCATATTTTCTTTCATGAGTCATTTCCAATTCAATGAAACGCCGTAACTGTTCTTTCAAAATTTTTGTTCAAGATTTTGCGAGTGTGAGAGGCACAAAGATGGTTTACCTGGGCTCTCCACTAAGAGAGGTCCATGTTTCACTTCCGTCATGAAAAATGCAAGTCAGGCACATAGCCCTGGAGATGATGGGGTATAAAGGCACTGGGAAAGAGCTCTAAAGCACGGAATGCTGCCGCAGGGAATATAAACCAAGAAAAGGAAGAGGTACGTTCCAGTTAATACATTACGCACTCACAAGGGCAGCTTATTTGAATATAATTATAATCTTACAAATATATTTTGCAACTCTTTGCACAGTAATTTCTGATAATTGTAATAAAAACACATGTACATCACTCTGACAGACGGCTACTCATACTAATAAAGTATTTATAAGTAAGTAGTATCATCACTATACGTATCATAATCGTATACGTTTCGTATCATTATCACGTATTAAACATTCAATTTATGCTTACAGACCTATACTTAGTATTTATGATACAAATATTCAAATATTTATAATTCTACTAATAAATATTCATAAGTATAAAGATAATTTTATTCTCAACTGTATGAAAGAAAACGTATACGTTAATGTAACACCGAACGTGAAATAATGGCAGGATTTTCGACACTAGTAAGGTAGCTAGACCGATTCAACCGTTGATTGGTGGAAAATTCTAGCGATCGGCTGCTCTGATGGGTAGTTCCCATGGTTCCTCCGATCAACACCAAGTGCATGCCTGAGCAGTACCGTTACAAACGGGTCACGTACGGCGCACAATCTTTCTTTCCTCTTCCTTGACCTATCATCACCCCTTACCTACACACACTTACATGCACTTAACTATCACACTTGTCGAAGACCAGTCGGGAGGTTAGAACGTGTCACAGCCGAGGCGGTGTCCCGCAGGTGGGAGATACCTCGTTGGGGAAAACACATAACCGATGAAAAGGTCGGCGTCGCATCTCGCCTTCAAATGAAGGAAGATCATAGCCACTTCCCGCAATAAAAGTGCACTACACTTACGGGACTAATGACCTTGGCCGTTGACGTGCTCGAAAACATCACCCAATCAATCAATCAATCGAATGGCCCGAATGCGAATATACTGTACGTAGTGTCTGGGAGCTCGTGCGCGCTTGCGTCTCCCCCCCCCCCGTGCGGAATTTGTGGCGGACGAAGCGGCTTTCGGCAGGTTTCGCGTTTCCCCTGCCTCTCACTCCACCATCCAACCATCATTATTCACATCGTCATTATCGCCATCGTCGACTCATTAGATCGTCACTCGGGGGTTTCAATGGCATGAGCAGTTGAAGGGCTTCTACACTCTCCAACAAATTAAAATAAAAAATAAAGGAGTGTCTGGAGGGTCTTCAAAAACTACGCATTAGCAGTTGCGAATGGGCAATTTTTTCCAGAGAGGAATATCTAAATCGTCACAAAGGGGAGGAATTGAAGAGTTTGAATGAAACGAATACCACCTTTGCTTAGGCAATCCCAAATGTGTGCTCGGGAATGTTTTCTTGTCAAATTTATTTGATTTCGATATTTCGAAGTTTGCAAATCACGAACGAGGCACGTAATGTACATTATGTAAATCCCTGGCAAGAAGAAAATAATAATTTTTCCAGAAAGAGGTATTAATCTAAGGGTATACTATCACCTGCATTACCCCAACAATCCGTACCCTGAGAATTAATAACGGATATTTTGATACATCGGCGAGTAAAGATCAAATGATGGAAATAACTTGCGGTATAATCGACGTTTGTTTAGGTTCACTTTTTTTTCTGCCCAAGTAAAAACCGGTTTAATAACCAGGCCAAACTAGCTTTCGCGATGAGATAAATTAAAAAAAAATTATTTTATTAAGATTCAGATACCAGAAACATGCATCATTCCCTATAGAAAAGCGCTGTTCTACGAGTGTTCGAGTTATAAGAATGTTGGAAGTTTCTTAGGAGCGAGTTATCTAAGAGATTCGACTCTGGCTAACTATTCGTTCCTCAACGTTATGGTTTGTGGCAGCGAATGATAACGAAATCAAGAGCATCGTCACTTCCGTCTACATATAATACTGTTGCGCGTGTCATTCATTTCAGTGGGAAAGGCGATTGTTTAAACATATTTGTTTCTTTGGCAGCCCAAGCGTGCGTTAAGAATGATTCTTGAGCTACAGCTTTCCAATTTACCAGTCTCAAACACACACAAAAATTGCATGTTTCTCTTCTACACCATGAAATATTATTTTCCTAATGCCCTTTGCGAGTCTTTGCCTTTGAATGTTGTAGGATGTATAGTGATGTTAAAAAGTAGTGAAGTTAAAAAGAATTAAGATATAGATCCTATTTTTAAGTACTAAGGACTTAGCTTGCATTCAGGGGAGCACATTGTATTTACTGCCGACAGAGTGAACGATTAATTGATAGGGCCATGGAGTAACTCAATTAGTTCTGCATAGAGTATACGTTAGGGTGTCTCGAAAAATTTTTTTTTCGCTCCTTCGGTATATTCCCATTTCTTTTTTATTCCTAACAGAGCGCACAAAGTTTCATCCCTATAGTGAACCAGGACTACAAAGCTATGAAAAAATGTTTTGTGGAAGATTTCTTCTGTTTAATTACCCACTGAAATGAATGCTAGCAAAAGATAGCGAAAAATGCAGTTCGTATCACGACTGTAGCCAAGTTCATTGCGCTGAAGTTAGTACCCCTATTTTTAACGATTATTTTTTCATTATTTCTTCTGGGTCAACATTTTCAATTGTTGAAATTAGACGCAAATACCTTAAAATTATGAAATAAAAAATTTTTAAGTTTTATCAAGATGAATGTGTTAACTTTTTCGTCATGGTAATTTCATAGTTTCTATTACAGAATGTAAAGGATCGAGAGGATGTGCTTCACAATGCATCTTTGATTCCTTCTATGAATCCGTTATATAAGGAAACATTTAGCTATTTTTAATAATTTGATGCACGAACAACAGTCGGGAAGTTGTAAAAATCTATTTAAAGAACTAGACCTTTGCTATTTAAAGATTAAAGTTTTGATGGAAACCAGTTTAAGTGATTTTGGAAAAGCAGCTTGTTGAATGTTGAAAATGGCACAACAAAATGTACCAAACAACTGTTATATAATCAAATAGGAATACAGTAGTACGTAGGAACTTCTTGAAATAACATATCCAACGAAGTACTTCTGACAATACGTAACGTAAAATACTTTCAATTAACCGAAAATGTGTGAGTATTAACCTGCTGCAACATACTGTCACCAAGACAAGAAACCACGAAAGATATTTTTAACTTTAATTTTCTTGGCACTCTTCTTCGTCGTAACATGACGACGTGTTATCTTAGAATTATCGGCACTTGACACCTTGACACCACGAAGGGGCTTCGGCGTGAGACAGCAAGAGAAGCGAAACTGACGCCCTCACAACCAATTTTCCTTGAAAAGACATTTCCAGGGTACTTTCTTTCCTCTTGTAATCGACATTCGTTTTACTGATAGGATCACGCTCTGTTAACACTCACTTTCCAAGAAACGAACACAAGTTTAATTTCCCAAGACGCAATGTGTAGGGCAGTCCAACTGGAATTAGATAAAACATAAAAATATGTCATAACATTCCATTAGAGTGCATGGAGTTACTGTAGTATCAACTAGTGCTCAACCTCTTACATTTTCACATACTCGTGGTTCTGGCTTTTAAAGAAATTCATTTGCATTTATTAGCCCTCTTTATTCACATGAGTTCTCTATTCTACAACTGATGTTATTGATGTCTTTATTTCAGCGAGCGTCAACTACTTTGGTTATTGGTTTAGTGAGTGTAGATCGGAGAAACCACGGAAAATTACAGTTTCTAACAACCGACAGTTAAAATTCTTCTCGTTCAGTGGTATAATCGATGGATGTCGTCTTCCGCCGTCTGCTATTATTTTAATACATTGATATTATTTAAGACAACGTTTTATTTGACACGGTCGTTTTCACTCAGGGACCGAGAGAGGAGGTCTGCCGCCGAGCCCACCGGCCGAGATATGAGAGCCGTGCGAACCATTGCAACATGTGGCATAGAGGAATTACTCTGAGAAGCGAACACTTTGACAGGTCGGGAAACAAGTAAACGTCTTGCAGGGCGATGACAGTTACGGGAAGAGATAATGATGAAGCTAGTTGCAAATGAGCTAACTGTAACCAAACGCACTGAAAAATGAGAGCATGCGAAATATAACCTGCCATATGCTGCGAGCAGTGGCGAAGCAGTAGCTGTCGAAGCGATCCCTTTTTGAAGTAATATCCCTTTAGCGCCTCGAGAGCATCGCCTGCTCGTGCACTATTTCTAGGCAATGCACTGTGCCTAGAAAGCAAGCTGTCCAGTTAGACGCCTTCCGGGGGGGAAGGGGATGTGGGAGGGATCGTGAAAGTGCGTGAGGCTGGATGGTCCTATCGCCAAATTGTGCTATACTCCGGTCATAAAGACACCACCAACTTCCGATGTGGACACCAATGAAAGAGGAAGATATGCCTTCAGGACTTGCAGGATCTTTGCGTCTGCCACGCACAATAAGACGTTGGGACCAGCAGATTGTCTGCCACGCGCGAAAAACCGCCACGATAAGATGCCATTTAGCGGGATGTGTAAGCTGCTCTGACATTCTGTAAGTGCCAGTAACATTGGCAGACGTGACAGGGCTCAATGCCCATCGACCTTCACGATGCCTGGCACTCACACCCAATTGTACCAAAAAATTGTACAAAAAGGACAAATTGGTGAAAATTAATCAAATATAGCTAGTAATAAACAATTACATCGAGAAAGATAGTGATGTTTCTCGTTCAAGTTGACATGTGAATGTTACACATTTATGTATTACCTATGATGTAGGTTTTTGAACTGGAGAATAAAGGGATTTAATTCCCTTTGCCATAAAGTGAAACTATATGACACAGATCAGCTTTGTAATGAAAGATTTTCGTAATATATTTTTTTTTCTGGAAGACAGCAAGGAAAGTACGCTTATAAAAATTGGTGCCAATTTTGTGGAACTGGCTGTATTTTAGAAAACTGCATATATTTAATAACATCTGTGGATGTCTTCCTACAACTGCAATACTGAAGCTAGAGATTTTTCTTAATAAACTTAGTTTTTCAAAATTGGCTCTTAAAATATGGTCATGCTCAATATTTTGAAAATATGGGTGTTTTGAAATAACAATGAGATTTTGTCAAAAGCAGTTCCCTTTTCTTCATTTCTACGCAAATAGAGCACAGTTCGTACGTCTGTGAAATCGCTGAGGTCTCATTTTTGTTAAAGTCTCTGTATTTTCAAAAATTTCCATTTTTTTCGGCGTCTTCCCACAAATACAATATTGTATACAAGAATTTTTTCCTAATACATTCCTTATTTAAAATTATATTTTGAAATAATGACATAAAATCTTTGTTATTTGAAAATTGCAAATGCAAATGTTCAAGTTTGTTTTTGGAGCGTCGGGAACATTGTTTTACTTCTGAGGCCTCTGAGTATTGTAGAGCGTTACGTGAGAAGCGTACTAAACACAAGAACGTGAGTTCGAATCCCTGCGTGGGCGAACACTGCGGGTAGGAAACACATTTGCAGGTCCAAGCAATATTATTATAACATTGCGTAATTGTAGCGAGAAAGTACATGCTGTTGTAGCACCACTAGATTGTGGAATTAGTTTTTCATCTACTTTATCTTAATAGACCAAAGACCTGTTCCATTGCAGTGATTCAGAAACTCTTTCGCTGTCTCCGCCCTCGATCTTTCAGGATCTCTTCTTCTCAAACGTTTTGTATCTCTAGAGATTCTGACTATTGTCTTCTTGCATCCTAACAATGTGTTGATTTATTCGATGACGGGAATAACATAACGTGTTCTAATTTTCTCATTTTTCTACCCATGTTTTATTGACTATTTTCCTTAGAACCCACATATCTGAAACCTCTGGCTTGTGTTGCACCCTTTCAATTTCGATACTATAATTGGCGATATTTTATAAATTATTATAGGTCATCTTCATTTTCGGCTACTAATGCTGCACCGTCCGCATCATAATGTATATTTGTCTTACAGTAGTAGAGTATTGCTCCATTATGTATTCTTTTTCAATTGGAAGCTAAAAATTTAATTTATTAATTTGAAATTGTTTTCATTAACTATTTATTATTAGATTGAACAATATCTCGAAGAACTGTCTTATTTATTTAGATATGGAAACGAGTAAGGGTAATATTTTGTTATCTTTCTGGAAGTTATTCATTGTGTTTCAAAATGGGTGAATATCGATAAAATTGTTGCTTCATTCTTAAGTTTAAAGTAAATCAAGATACTGTCGTGCAATGCATTGCGCAAAAATAAACTCAAAACTCTTTATACCTTTATTTAAGTAAGTTTTGTTAAATTTTGTTATTTAACTAACTGATAATAATTTTCCATCTCTGAAGAAAATAATATGTATGAGCTAGTAGACATCAAACCTGTCATGTATTTGATCAGGAAACAACGATATTAACTTCTTTTCGTTCTTGGTGTCTGAAGAAAGTCAAACTAGAGTATCATTTCCCCTCGGATGCCATACCATCTGGGAAGGAAGTAGTCTAACAACATTCCCAGCCCACACGTAGGTCGTAAGCTGGAAGTTGCGTTAGGAAGAGAAAGCTGGAAAGGATGCTCCTAAGAAGCCAATTGAGGCGAGAACGATGAGAATCAATCTTAAAATTCAAATTACATTACAAAAGAAAAGTGTTGTCGAAACATTTGCCCTCTACAAGATCGTAAAGAATGAAAAAAGATTATATGGAACATTATACACCTTGATCTCATTTCTTAATTATGATAATGTTCGTTTATTTTTTAATTACACCCCGATAAAATTATTTTCTGCAGAAGTGTTTTCACTTCAATTTTTTTATGATCTAAAATCTTCTGTCGACTGTTTGTTTTCTCCACATGGATTTCGGCTTTCGTAGCAGCGTGTTTCAATATTTTTCACTGCTCAGAAATCAGTGATCTTTAATCTCATCGAGAATAGATTATGTCATACTGAAAGCACTAAAAGAAATAGATAAAAGTGAATAGTTTATTCTTGAATTAATCTGTTTGAAGAAAGTGGGTGGCAGGGGTCTCTCAAAAAATATTATAATAATCTTGTCCAATTCATTCGTTGGTATGGCCTAAGCAACCCTGGAAAAGTCCTAGAAGCATGTAATTCGAAACAGACGCACTGGGCTCATGCAAAATCATTGATTTAGATAATAAGAATAACTTGAGTGAACCTTTCTCAT